AACGGCACTGAGCTGTAAAGGGCAATAACAATATCGTCATTTCACCACTATCGTAAAGGATTAAAGACCATGAACACATTGATCAGTTAAGACAAACTATGAAGTTCAGATTCTTTTAGTTCAAAGATACCCAGTGTTGGCTGTGTAGTCTTGGGAAACTTACTTCACCCCTCTGAGCCTCGGTTACCTCATCTGTAAAATGAGCAGAATGGTAAATTGTTCTGGGGATAAGTTGAATTGATATATATGAGGTACTCAGAGCAGTACGTAGCTAGTAAGTCTGGTACATGGTAAGCACATGTATGTTTTAAGTATTATAATTTGGTATTTGTGTGGCTGCGGTGAAATCATGGAGGCAGGAAACTGGGATTTTAGCCCCAGCCCGCAATCAGTGAATTTAAAGAAGTCACCTCACGTCTCTGTCGTCAGTTTCCTTCTCTGTGACATGAGGGAGTTGACGAGACTATCTGTCGAGCTCAGACATTTTAAGACTGAAAACCTAAACTCCACCGTCAGCTGTGAGATCTCGAGCAGGCTTTCCGGCTCGTAGGTAGTTTTGAGCTTCTGATCTCTCATAGATCTGTCAAGGGCCTTTCACTGATTCCCACCGAGAACGCTGCCTCTGTCTCGGGTTTTCTGCAGGGCCTAGCATCTGCTTTTCACCAAGACGTGTTCCTCTGCCAGCCGCATCAGGGCTGCTACAAGCCAGCTTCCTGGCAGGGAGAGAGGGGAAAACAGTGTTTTTATTTTTCTGCCTCGTGGTGTCTTCCTTCCTTTAGGATCCCTTCTGAGAAAGGTCAAAGCAGAATTCTGCAACTGCCAGGATGAGAGATGCCAGCCAACTGGAGCGGCCCGTGAACGGGCGGTGCCTGCCCCTGGGAGGCCGGGACTGAGGCCCAGTCAAGCCTGACCCACCCCCCAGCTCGGGGGTCACTCCCTTTCTGCCCCAGCGAGAGAGCACATTATAAACATCTTGACTGTGGTGGTTGGCAGATGGAAAGGGGGACAGTAAGCTAAAGCATGATGGGGAGTCTAAGAAAGGGCAAAGAAGCAGGTTTTGCTTCAGAATTTGTGACAAACCAGAGTAGCATATCCACCCCTCTTGCTTTCCCGACATTCTGCTGTGGCTGGGAAGGCAGAAGGCATTCCACCCCTCCCCTAAAGGCGGGAACTCCTACCCTCTTCCCAATGCGGGAGCGTGAAAAAGGCTGCTTCCCTCCTCTCTTTTATTTATTTTTTATTTTTTAATTACAGTTTGCATGCAACAATATTCTGTATTAGTTTCAGGTGTATAGCATAGTGGTTAGGCAGTCATGTACTTGACAGTGTTCCCCTGGATATTTCCAGTACCCTCCTGGCTCCATGCATAGTAATTACAATTTTATTGACCGTGTTTCCTATGCTGTAGTTTACATCTCCGTGACTATTCTGTCACCACCAATCTGTACTCCTTAATCCACCTGCTTTATTTGCTTCTGCCCCTTCGCCTTTTTATTGGCTGCTCCCCAGAGGTAGAGGGTGAGTGTGAGTATCAGACTCAGACATTCCATGACTGTGTTTACTGCCAGGCAGAGCTGTGAGCCTGACAGTGGTGTCCCAGGAACCAACCTTTTCTTCTCTTTGCCCAGGCCCAACAAGTTTCCTTCTGTTTCTTGTTCCAGGTAATAGATAGGTGAGTGTCAGGGTTAGTAAGGAGGAACTGGCGAACACAGAGAAGAGCACCTGGTTGTAAGGAGCTGCTGGTCCATCAACCGTGCTTGACTGTGAGATTCACAGCGCACTGGATCAGTGACTGCTTCCGCTGCCCTTTAGAATAGCTGAGATAGAACTTCCTCCTACCTTGAACGAAAAGGGGCTCTCATCACTCCTACCAAAGCTACCTTGCATTGCTTGGCATTTCAGCCACAGTGAGCTAAGCCTTTCATTGACTTTATTTTGTAAGCTATGCACCTACAACTCATCTTCGAAGCAAGTTCAGTGAGCGTCCCACAGAACCCTCCATAACATTCCCTTTTCGACCTTCTGTACCACAGTTTCTGTGTGTAGTGCTGCAGTTTCCAGCAATAAAACGCTCATTCTTTCACAGATGAATTTGTTTTTAGACAGGTATGACTATTGGCAAATGCTTTCTTTGTTACTTCTTTATAAATTCCTCTGAAATACCTCCCTCCTTTCAGAGTCAAAAATTGAAATACCTTTTCCGATGACACAAGGTTATGCTCTAGTGACCCCCATGGCAGAGAACAGCAGCGGTCTGTCGCTTGTACACACCTGTCCTTCATGCCGTCCGGGACTCTGCTGTGCACTGCTCTCCCTGGAGACTCCAGCTGACAGAACAGCTACTACAAGTGGTTTGCTTTTAGCATCTACCAACCGAGTGAACATAATGACCAAAGAGATGATGTAAATTAGGTAATGATTCTTTTAATCCTCACCTGAGGAGATGCTTTTATTGATTTTAGAGAGAGGAAGGGGGAGAGAGAGATGTTGATGTGAGAGAGAAACATCAATCGGTTACCTTGGGTACACCCCTGACTGGGGATCGAACCCGCTACCTAGGTATGTGTCCTGACCGGGAATTGAACCTGCCGCCTTTTGGTGTACAGGACGATGCTGTAACCAACTGAGCCGCCCAACCAAAGTGAAGTAGTATTTTTTCCCAAAATTTATATCTATGAAAGTCTTCATATAAATTACACAGATTCATCCAGTACCAATCCTTCATTCTAAGTAATGACTTTTAATTGAACTTTAATTGTTATTCTCCCACTTTTTGGGCTCAAACTTTCTTTTAAAATCTATATAAGGTATCTTGAATTCTAATGCCATGTAACGATGTCTTGAATTCTAATGCCACATAACTGCAGAGCTCCCAGCCGCGTCATTCCCCAGTGTGTGTGGAGTTCTACCCCTAGGACTCATCTGCCACGCCCTTTCTCCACAGTCCCGCTCTCCGCCCAGTTCTCAGTCATCATGTGGGCCAACTCGTACTGCTCCCTGGTGCTTTGTCCCCAAACAAGGACACAGCCCCTCTCCTTTATCCTCCAAGTCACCACCAGCGTGATGCTGTTGCTGTCAGCAGACTTCGTGGGGTGTCAGGGGTAATGGCAGAGGGAAGGTAAGAGAGGCATGGAGGGATATGGAAATAACTTGACCTTGAAAAGGTCAAGGCCTCTCAGCTCCTCCCTGCCCAATGCTAGCCCCACCTTCAGCCTCTGATGGACCCTGCTCTAGTTTCTTCTCAGATCCCCATCCCTGAGCCCCTCCTCTGTCTCTCTTTACACAGAGAAAGCTCAATTTCACCATTACTTTATTCAACAGAGCAATTTAGCTCCCTTTGTCTTAACCTCTTCCATTCTGAGTTATTCTAATCCATTCTGTTTCATAACTAAAGGGCTAATTAATACATTTTGTGAGCAAAATAATCTACCAAAGCCTCCACAGCTAAAGAGAGAACAAAAGCTGAGAAATTAGTTTTTCTTTAAGAGGCCTCAAAAAAAAAATCTTAGCAAATGTATTTGATTCCAACCAACTTCATAGTAGAGAAACTTTAAAATACAGCAAGCATGAATTTGAAAGGGCAAATTTGGGGCTTTTTAGAGAGTAAGATCATGCAAGGCCTTGGGAGATCCATTGCCTATATACATTTTGATTTAAGCAGGCAATGAGCATGGGTGGTGGATTGTGGGCGGTGGGGAGCAGGAGGGAGGTGTGTTACAGGGAGCAGGTGGGGAGGGGCAGTGGGGATGGACAGAAGTGCTGAAGTCGAGCCTTCTCCAGAAGTCAGCATGCACAGGAGTTGGTGTGGGAGAGTGAGGGGAGAGAGGAAGATCAGGGATAATACTGTTTTCTTTCTGTAGCCACGGAAAGTGTTGGTGCCATTTACCGTGATAGAAAATACATGAGCAGGAATACATTGAGGGGTGGATTATGTTTCATTTTGAACATATTTTATTAGAGGTTTGTGGGGCATCCCACAGGATCAGAGTAAAGACTGACAACTTGGGTTTCCCAGGCTGGACTGGCCAATGGGATGTGCACTCTGAGGGTGGACCAGGCTGCCTCTCAGAGCCGCAATGTTCCAGGAAAAATATCTGAATACAAGGTCCCCTTTGCTGCCTTGAGCTTATTTGAGGTCTGGGACTTCCTTGATGCAAATCACTGGTTTAAGATACAAAAGCAGTATCTAAAGTCCCTGAGACCCTAGTCCAGCCTCTGCCCTGGGGGGAGAAAATGAGGAACCTCTTCTTCACCTGAATATATGTGACCAAGCAGAGGGATGGCTGCTGATTTCATCTGAGTTACTCTACAAGGTGCAGCCTGGGAGCCCAGAATGTAGCCTTAACATTGTTAGAGGGAGCCCTCTTGTTAGAAGTAAACATATTATGTGTGATGGATGCCTGATATTTACCAGTGTGACTTACCTGTCACCGTTTTCCACCCATTTCAAATGTAGATACAGTTAAAGATCTCACATTTTTGTCTTCTTATTCATTTTTCTTAACATTGCTCTTTTCCCTTCAGAAAAAAAAAGAAAAAGAAAATGTGATTACTATGATCCCATTCGTATCACTAAACATAAGCTGTCATTGTAGAAATGATAGACATAGTACACCAGGGAGGCCACCTGCTATGGGGAAAGATCACTGGACTTGGAGTCAGGACACCTGTCTTCAAAGTCCAGGTTTCCATTCATTAGATGGTCCCTTTGGCAAGTCACTTATCTCCCTTTTGGTCTTCCTGACTTTATCTGTGAAATACGCAAATTATCAGTCACTGCTGTGACACGGGCTGCTTGCAGATGGTGACCAAAGGCTACAGGAAGTCTACGGAAACGAAAGGAACCTTCCATCCCACATGCCGCAGTCCGGGACTGCTGGGCTTTTGTTCCAGACCAAGCGTGTTTCATTGGCTCTTTCTCATAAAGTTTACCCTGCCCTCAGCTACTGTGGATGCATTCTTAACTAAAACAAATAACAAGAGCTTCTTTTCTCTTGCAGTGCATAGTGTGGGACTGGGACTCCAACGGCAAACATGACTTCATTGGAGAATTCACCTCGACGTTCAAGGAGATGAGAGGAGCGATGGAGGGGAAGCAGGTATGTGGTCAACCACTCCTGGTATTTTCCAGCCACCTCTCTCATGAAGTACCCAGCTATGCATGAATACCTGGAGTTGCCCACGTATGATGAAACCAGATGAGAAGGGAGCATGGTGGGATTTCAGTACTTAGCTTCAAGTACTAGCCCACCCCAAAGCCATTGGCGTGACCTTGGGCAAGACAACACCCCAGTGTAGTACAATTCCTCCATCAGTAAAATGAAGAGGTTAGATGAGAATATTTCAAATTTCCTTGAGCTGTGTAGCCTTGGACAAGTGACTTAATCTCTATGCCTCAAGCAAAATGAGTGTGGTAATTGTATCAATTTCATAAAATTTGGGGAAGAGCAAATGAAATAATTCATGGTATGCATTTACCAGAGTGCCTCGCACATAGCTAGAACTTTCAAAATATCTGCCCTTCGTACTGACATTCTTTCCATCTCTACATTTCCATGACTTGGTGACATTGGTTACACACTTCATGCTTTGGTGAGATGATGGAGTCCTAAAATTTTTATTATGGACACCGGATCTTTATCTAGTTCCACCATTTTACTCTTTGGGTGCCAAGACATGTACCCAGCACTGCCATGTATGACAGAGGCACACAGGGATTTCACCGGACCACACAGAAACCTACACCTCCTCTGCGTTTCTCTTAGACACACATGCTTTTATACACACACATCAATTTATCAGCCAGCTGCTGTCACCTGGATGTTGGCCTGCACATAACCTGCTCTTACCTGGTCAGTGTTCACCTGCCCAACTTCCAGCTGCAGAGCCTAAATCTCTTTGCCTGTGGGATTCCTCTGGCTGTGGGAGCCTGCTCTGCCTATTCCCGCAGTGGGCTGCCAAGTGTGAGAGGAGATGTAACACCGACCAGGGCGCAGCCTTCAATACATCACTAATGGGAGTTGATAAAAGTGGCAAAACTCTGAGGTGTGTTCTATCCAGTTTCCCAGAAGGGATAAGCCCTGGTTGCCCACAGTGGTAACCAACTTGATAATGCACCCCTCTCTGGCTGCCTCCCTTCTCCATTTCCCACTCTATTGGTGCTTCCTGATATTATCTCCCAAGTGAGTTACTTGCACTTAAACCCTTGCCTTGGGTTTTGTTTCTGGGGGAACTCAAACCCAAATACTTGCCATTCTTACTCTGAAGCCCCTGATCCCCATGGAGTAGAAAGGAGTGACAACGACGGCTTTGACAAGTCTTTTCCCTGAGAGGTAAGACCCCTCCCTGGCCCAGTAAGAAGTGGAGAGAAGATGTCCAAGTCATTATTCTCTTCTTCTAGAATCTAGATGGAAGGTCAAGATATAAACAGACTAGATGGAAATAAACTGACAGTATTTAGAATTAGAAGCTTAACCTGAATCAGACCGTTTGTTGAATACATACCTTTGGTCTAAAAACTCAAGAGCAGCATTCTGCATAGTTGTAACATAACCGGCTTTGTATGCTGTATTGTGCACGAGGCATTGTACACAGAGCCCTTCCTCCACAAGCAGGCATGCAGAGTTTCAGAGCCACAACTAAAACCAACACTAAATTATCAGTAAAATCACTCCCAGGATAAAAAGGAATATCGCCAGAGAAGATGCTTCATTGAATATACTGGGCCAGGCTCTACTGAGTGAATAAGTCAGTGACAGTTATCAACGCCACCCGCTAGAACTCTAAAGAGTTTTACAAAGTTTTGCCTTGTTCTCCTCTACAAAGAAAACTATCCAAATTAATAATATGAGAACCATTTCATCTTGAGGTTCCAAAGAGGGTGTTAAAACTAAAATTATAGCATGCGTCACGATTGATGCATTCAAAGAAAGAAAGATAAATCATTGTCTCACTGAGGAAACAGACCATATGCTACTGAATTTCTCTGTATTTTAATTCAATCACCCAGCCCCTGTTTTGACACATTTGCACTGTGGAAACTGTTTCCTTATTTGATTCTACTCAGAGTTATTGAGGAGCGGCTACTAAGTGCCAGACACTCCGCCAGGCTCTGAGTGTGCCATGACTGTGCATCAGATAAACTAGAACACAGATCAAGTAAACAAAACAATAAAAATGCAGTTATAGCTTGTGACAAGTGATATGAAAAAACCTGAACCCATTTAGTTATAAAGATGTGGTATAGAAGAGATCATCTGAAAAAGTGACATTTAAGTTGAGGACCTTTAAAGATGAAAAGAAGTCAACCATGTCACAAGCAAGGGAAAAGCATTTCAGGCAGAGGGAATAGCTTGCAAAGTATTGAGTTAGCAAAGAGCTTGGTGCAGTTAGGGATCTGGAAAGAGCCCTGTGCATCTGGAGCAGAGAAGGTGAGGAAGCCATGCATGAGACGTGGATAAAGATGGAGGCAGAGGCCAGGAAGGATAAATTCTGATAGTTCAGAAAAAACAGAGTTCGGGATTTTTTTCTAGATGTAATGAGAGCACACTACAACTGTTCTCTTCCTTACAGCAGCCAGTAGCTACATGTGACTTAAATTTAAATGCATTAAAATTTGAATTCCTCAGTCACACTGGCCACATTTCCAGTACTCAGCCTGGTGTGGCTAGCAGCTTCATCATTGGCTGATGCAGATATGGACAGTTTCCACCATTGCGGAAAGTTCTACTGGACGGGGCTGCAAGGCATCTAGAGAGAATGACATGATTGGGTTTGATTTTTTTTAAAAAGGTTAGGCTACTGTGTAGATAATCAATTATAGAGAGACAAGAGAGTGAGGCAGAGAGATCGGTTAGGAGCTAATATTATAGGTAAGACAAGTTGAGATAATGACAGACTAAACAAAGTGATAACAGAGATGGAGAGAAGTGGAGAGATGTAAGATATATTTTGGAGCTAGTAGATACAAGATTTGTTGGGGGATTCTATATGAGGGGAAGGGAAGCGGGGGAAAAATGACTCGAAGATAGATGGAGAAATGTGGGTGCCTTTTCTTGACTGAGGAAGTCTTATTTCAGGGAGGTCTAGTTGGTGGTGAAGTTCAAGAATTAAGTCTGGGGGCTTTGCACCCAGAGGACTTACCTGGAGATGTGTTTTAGGAGCTGTAAGTAAAAGTCCTGCCCCCAAGTACACAGATAGGTATGATTATAAGCTACATTTTATGGTGGAGGTATCCAAGGCATAGAGGAATCAAGTACAACTGAGCCTTGAACAACACAGGTTTGAACTGCATGAGTCCACTTACATGTGAATCTTTTCAATAAATACCTGTACTGTTTTCTATTCATGGTTGGGAGTCCATGGATGTGGAGGGCCGACTGTATGCATTGATTTACACCATTTTATATAGGGAACTTGAGCATTCCTGGATTTTGTTACTACGGGTGTCCTGGAACAAATCCCCTGTGGATTTCAAGGGCAGTTCAGTTTTGGGGGGAGTCCAAAGTTTGACTCCTGAATGTTTGACTTGCAATTGGAACACCTTTCGCATTGTTTAAGGGTCAACCGTAATTTGCCAAAGGTCACACAACTGGAAAGTGGGGGAGCTGGGATTAAAACCATGTGGTCTGATATCAGAGTCTCACTCTCAACCACTCTTCTCGTGTTCCTTCGAGATGTGAGAGTTGTCATCTGGAGACCAGTTGTCAGCCCTCAGTTGCATCCACCTTCGTGCCTGGGGGCTTGACCACTTCTTCCTGAGCAGGCAATCATGCTGTGACTGTTCCTGTTGCAGGTGCAGTGGGAGTGCATCAACCCCAAGTACAAAGCCAAGAAGAAGAATTATAAGAACTCAGGCATTGTGATTTTGAATCAATGCAAGGTATGTACATAGCCCGTCTTTCAGGAGTATGAAGCTAGGGTTGTCTGGGAGGAAGAGTTCAGGTTGTGTAGTCAGAGGGAGAGAGTGTCAAGGAGATGAGATCTTTTTTTCAAAATAAAAATCAGAAAGTCAATGTATTAATGTATATACAATGAGCAATGTATGCATGGATGATCTTGGAACTATGGTAGCCCAATGCTACCATTCCCTCCACAAGGATAGTCCTGCCCCCAAAGATAGGAGAGTCCTGGTCACAAGTTAGACTCTTTCTGCCCAGGGCAACACCAGGAGATCCCCAAAAGGGGCAACAACCTTTCCAAAGCACCTACCATGTACCTACCGGTGTTTAGTGGTTTATATGTGCTACCTCACTCATGCTAGAAGAGTACCATGAAAACAAGACAATGGGAGAAGACTGAAGGGCCTAGAAGTTCCTCCCAGAGGGGCTCTTACTTCACAGAAAAGTCCATGTGCTAATAAGTAAACCCCTTAAATCGCATCTGAGAATAATTCTGCCACTGGTTGAGTACTTACTATGTAAGAATAACTATAATAAATTTAATTTACTCTTATCACAATGCTGAGATTTCCACTTCCAAACGAGATTGTTCACAAGTGGTAAGTTTAAGAGCTGAGATTTTAATCTCTGTCTTTCTGAGTTCACCATATAGCACTTAAGGGCCATCCATTTTCTTTCCATGTACGCCCGGTTCCTTCTCCCAGAGTGGCCTCTCCATAGCTGCCAGGAGCTGCAGGAGCACATCTTCCATAACGAAAGCAGGGAAAGACTGATTGGTCTGGTGTGGGTCACATGCCCACCCCTGAACTAATCACTAGGAAAGTGGATAAGGTATTGTAATTGGCCATCTGGGGTCATTGTTTTAATCATGGCTTTTATTTACTTATTTTTTATAATGCTTTGACATCGGGTGGGGGAGGGGGTGATAGACCCTGAAGGGACTGCCCCTCCCACAGTTAGCTAATTCCTAGAGAAAGCAATCCATCTGCCTGCAAGCCTGCCTTTAATATGCATACCAATCGATCCAGAGCCTATACCCCCAACCACCACCTTTACTGTCACACACCAAGGCAATACTCCCCCCCCCATATCACCCCAGGGCCAGGTTTCAGACAATTAGAGACCACCCCTATAACCTGCCAAAATTACTCAATCTAATCCTAAATCTAATTAGCTGCTTGCCCCGCCTCACTTATTTCCCCCCCAACAAAAACCACAATAAAGGCATTTACCCACACTTTCCCCTCATTCCTTCGGCCTCCTGACTGACCCTAGTGCTTCTCCATCAGCCCCACCCTGCATGGCATGACATGCCTCCTCCCCTTTGGGGAGCCCTAAGTGATCAAGTCTTTCGAAGGCAGTTGTCTCTGGTCATCTTACCTACTTACACAAATCACATTCCAGCTACATTCAAAATAGTCGTTGTCCATCCCTGTGCCCAAAGAAGTAGGAGAGAAAATCTAGATGAACCAATTCATTTGTCTAACACCTTAAAGTAATATAGGATACGTGCATCTATCTGTTTTGGTCCTCCATGAGTTGATCTAACAGTTCAGCACTTGAAGGCCATTGTTATTGAATTCATTTCTTTAATATACAGATGACAGTAGGGTGCCCCAACTATCAGGCAAAGCACTGCCATAAGGAAGCCAAGAGCAGGCACTATTCAGAGGGTCAAGTGAACATCAGTCCTGAGAAAAGTTTGCTAATAGACGTGTGCCATCTGGAGGTAGACCTAGAGACACCAACATAGGATTTTGTGGGTCAGTCTCTGAGAAGCTGCCCTGAAATTGAGATGGAGTCTGAGAAGTGTCAAAAATCACAGTTACTGGTTGTCCTAGTTAAAGATCTAGCCTATAATAGACTGTGTCACAACTGCAGGTACCACTTTTTTTCTCACCACTATATCTCTAACATCTAGTACATGGTGGGGTGGCTCAACACATACTGTTGAATAAGTGAAGAGATGCATGTCACCGAGTCAAGCAAAAGAATCATAAGCAGAAATTAAAGTCAGAAATCAGTAAGGTATATAGAACACAAATGGTGGTGGTTGCGCAGAAAGCAGGGACCATGCTGACTTCCAGCATAGAGGTCAAAAGAATGAACTTTGCAGTCCAGACTACCATCATTTGAGTCCTACCTCTACCATCTACTAGGTAGGTCATCTGAGACTTAGTTTCCTCATTTATAAAATGGGCACAGTAATAATAGTAGTAAGCCTTGATAGGGTTGTTCTAAGAATTAAATGAAATAATGAATGTTAAGCACCTGGCATACAGTAAGAACTCAATAAATTTTAGTTATTGTTGTTCATGGCATGGGGACATCTAACCATCAACAAAAGGCTTCTCAGGTAACTGTGGTCTTGACACTGTCAATCTAGATTACTTATAGAATTAAGAATGTTACCAGGACTGGGGTTTAGACACAGGGAGTGGGGCTGAAACCAAGGGTGAGACTTTGTTGATATCCACACAGTGGTGACCCTTGAAATTATAGTGTTAGTCTCACCCCAGAGGCAGAGGCTGATTAAAATCATGCCTAAACCAAAGGGAGGGGAAGCAAGGGGCGGATATTTGTAGTCTTCATGAGTTTGTCTGAATTCAGCATTGCTTTCTTTCTCTTTTTTAACGAAATCAAATCAACTGACCCATCTTTTCCCCACAGATATCTCTCTCTCTCTCCCTCTCTCTCTCTCTCTCTCTCTGCTCTTTCCTCTAGTTTAGCAGCCTAACTTCAAATTTTAAGCCTCCAGTCTGTGAGGACCCAGATTATGCTATTGTTACTAAGATCATTTCTTTTCCTCCTCCTATGCAGATCCACAAGATGCATTCTTTCTTGGACTACATCATGGGTGGCTGCCAAATCCAGTTTACAGTAAGTTGTTCCCTTGTTTGTTCTTGTTCAGGGAGCAAGGTTGGGGAATGGTGCTGGGTTTGGGGCACAAGGAGACAAAAGTCTATTAAAACACGGTTAGCCTTGTTCAAGTCTCGTTGCTAAAATATGGTATGGCCACATGTTTTAAAAGTAAGTTCACGCTTCTGTTTTCTCCAGTGTGGTTTTCAGCATCCTGTCAGGAAATGCATGCCACTTGACCTCAGGTGGTTTGGGGGAACATCCCAGTGCTTCCCATTCTTTCCATACCTACATGAGGCATGAGGCAGCAGGCAGAGTGCCCGATCCCATCACCTGGTGGGAAGGATGGGAAGGAAGCAAACCAAGCTAGTAAGTCCCACTGAACCAAGGCAGGTACCTTTGTTGCTGTATTCATGTGGCCAGAACACAAGCACCATTGTCAAGCCCAGTGGTCAGTGCCAGGAGTAAGCCATCCAAATGGTTCATTGGGCAATAAAAAGGTGAATTCCAGAAGATTGGAGAACCAGCCTTTCAGAGTTGAGAAACAGAGTGAGTGTCTAGAGTGAGGGGGTAGATCGAGGATCAGCTCCTACATGTACTCTATAAGCCCATAGGATTTACCTACTTCTAAATATGCATTTGGATGGATGGGCTGGGTCTTTTTAAAGTCCCCAGGTAGGCCAAGTTTGTGAGTCCATCTGCTCTGGAAAAACGTGTTCTTAGGTTTGGGCAGATGTGACCTCCAGAAAAAGAATCCTCACATGTCAAAAGATAGCTCTGCTAACACCTATGGGAAAGCGACATGGATGTAAAGAAGTGAAGTACAATCTGTGCCGTGTTCATTCCTCATACTACAGAAGTATACGCACGAAGTCAGCCCTGCTTAGCTCCCCAGACTGGCTCGATCACGTGAGGAAGGCACAAAAAATGGGTTTAAATTTTTTGGCCAGGTTTGAGCCCAAGAGAGTAGATAGGACCAATGCATCCCTGTGACCAGGGATAGTGGTACTCAAAAGACTAAAAGGGGAATTCCCAAGTGGATGAGGTAAGGGGTGTTTTGATAGATTAGCCTCTCCCTAGCTAGGCGCTTGACCCTGCTATAATCGCAGATGGGTCTACCTATGTTAATTTACCCCCAAATAGTTACAGGAATTAATTATAGAATTCAGTCGTTTCCTTAAGGTCTAAGGTTCTTTAGAGACACACCTACCCAGCCTTCCCACATGCACACTGGCACATACAGAAGGTAGCAAACATGTTCGTTGTGGCACATGCATCAAACTTGAGCCGTCCTGTGGATCCATTGTCGCCGAGTGTAGACAAGTGCATTAGCAAAGCGAGCATTGTCATAAAGGGGAGCTGCTGGAAATAGTGTCCTGAGATCTTAGGCAAGGGAGTGATTTCAGGAAACTATTTATAGGTTTTCAAGGGAAAGCTCTATTGACTTGGGTTTGTTTTAGGTTCTATAAACCCTGTGCTCTTGAACAACACTTTATTTAAGCCTCAGGGCCTTGCTTTGCCCTTGAAGTTAATGCTGCAAAGAATCAGCCCCCATAAAAAACAGAAGTTTAACCCCACAGGGTTCCCAGATCTACATCCTAACTTACAGAGGTCTATATACACAGAAGGATTGCCCTCTAGGCTTTGATCTCCCTTCTTTCTCAGTTTTGCTGACCCTCCCCAACCGTGAGGTACCACCTTAATGGGTCTCACCACCACCTCCCCAGTCCCAGCTTCTCACCACTTCCTGTGTCAACTGATGGACCTATGTGGGAGGGGGGGGGCATCTGGAGTGAGCCTGGAGCAAGGAATGAAAAGAGGTGGACAATGTACAGTTAAATGCTGACAAGGAAACAGGCCATCACCATTGTCTGCCACAAAACCCTTCTCCCTGTCGAACTTCAGGCTGGGCCTCAGAGGAAGGTTGCCAGGGGTCCTATTTTGAGCTTTCTACTAAAGAATACCGATGTCGCCCGGCAGTGTGGCTCAGGGGTTGAGCATCAACCTACGCACCAAGAGGTCACCAGTTTGATTCCCAGTCAGGGCACATGTCCAGGTTGTGGGCCCGATCCCCAGTGTGGGGCATGCAGGAGGCAGCTAATCAATGTTCTCTCCCACCGATGTTTCTATCTCTCTCCCTTTCCCTTTCTCTCTCTCTAAAAATCAATGAAGAAAAAAAAAAAAGAATACCAATATCACTGTCTTCCAAAATTAAGTCAGCTTTCTCATTAACTTCTTATTGCTCTAGCAGTATACTGTAATGTAAAATATAGGCTGTAATGCAAACTATTAATAAAAATTAGCATGTCTTATTTAATTTGGCCCATAAGTGTTTATTACCTGTCCAGTAATTTTGTTGAAACCATCTGGCCACATGAAAGGAAAGTGGCAGAGGAATGAGAAATGAGGAGGGGGCTTCCTGGCACGGAGATAGGCAGAGGAGACGGGGGGAGGATGCTTCGTTGCAGTCAGAAACTCCCATTGGCACAGAGAGTAATAAAGCCCAGGAGCTTTAGCCAAGATGAACTTGCTGTCTCCCTGGAGACAGACCCTTAAGATCCAGCAGTGAAATCAAGTTCCGGATGTCTCCTTTACTCCTTTTGTTGTTGGTAATCCTCACCCGAAGATATCTTTTCCATTTATCTGTTAGAGAGAATGGAAGGGGGGAAGGGATGGGGAGAGAAAGAGGGGGGAACAGCAACGTGAGAGAGAACACATCGACTGGTTGCCTCCCACACACACCCCTACCAGGGATCAAACTTGCAACCTGGTATGTACCCTTGACTGGGAACTGAACCCTCGACCCTTCGGTATGTGAGCCAACACTCTAACCACTGAGCCATACTGGCAGCCAGGGCTTTCCTCCTCTTTTGACATTTCTCTGCCTCTCCCCTGTGTCCCAGGGGACCTTGCTCTTTAGATGTACTAGCCAGGCTTTCCTGCTCATGGGTTTCGGTTGGCTTTGACCAATGGGAAGAAGCAACCACAGATCAAAGAATGAGAGGAGAGCAAAGCTGGGGCACCCAGCTCTCTGCCTGCCTGCCCGTGGTTTGGCAGTGACCAGAAGGTCACAGTTCCCATCAGGTGCCCTGTCCTGCAGATAGTACTCTTACTAAGTTCTACTAACTCCTTCTCCCTCTCCTTTCTAGTCAGTCCCCCTTAACCTTTTTGAATTGTCTTTTTGTTAAACTCGCCTTAATAGTCCTTTTTGAGTGGCCATTTGTTTCCCAAGGTTCTCATCAGTGCACATCGCACATGGGCGAGGGGAAATCTTGCACCCTCCACAGAGGGCCCGGTGCTTCTGGTTCAGCCCTCACCTTTCCTTCAGGTACCAGGCTGATGTGTATTAGGTGCTCAAAATACTTTTGATGAGTTACAGTGATTGAACCCAAAATCTTTAAGCAGAGATAAGGTTTAGGGAAAAGGAGAATCTGGATGAATAAATATGATACTCAGTTTTTGCTTTAAAAAGTACCCCTATGGCCCAGCCAGTGTGGCTCAGTGGTTGAGCGTCGACCCATGCACCAAGAGGTCGCCAGTTCGGTGTCCAGTCAGGGCACATGCCCAGGTTGTGGGCCTGATCCCCAGTGGGGGGCATGCAGGAGGTGGTCAGTCAATGTTCTCTCTCATTGATGTTTCTCTCTCTCTCTCTCTCTCTCTCTCTCTCTCTCTCTCTCTCCCTTCCTCTTTCTCTAAAAATCAGTAAAGAAAAAAAAATTCAGAAAGCACCCCTATGAACTTAATGTTTGTGCATCTATATATTCTAATGATAAATAATGAAACCTTAATATGGGTGCGTAGAGTATATCTAAGAGAGTGTTGGGAAGTTGTTTGGAATGAGAACTTGAAGAGCTTTGAGTTTTGAGGTGAGTTGCTGGATAAGGAGATGTTCAGGATGCTCTTGAGCGGGATATTGACGCAATCAGCCACATGTTTCAGGGAGCTCCTCCTGGGGGTGTGTGGTGAAAGGTCCTAAGAAAGGCCACCGAGAATGAGGAGTCCTGGAGGAGCGCAGTATTTGTGCCTGACTGCCTAAGCATGGTGTCCTGACTGGTGGAAACATGGAACTCAAGGGGAGCTGCTGGACGAGATGATGACGTGGACATGTGGGGAGTGCTTTCAGAGATCCCCGGGGAGAGGGCACTTGTACATGTGGGCCTAGGTTTCAGGAGAGAGGTAGAAGCTGCACATACATGGGTCTGGATGAGCTGGCCGAAGAGAAGACTACAGAAAGCAAAGGGACCCAGTGACAGGAACTTGGGAAAGACCTGCATTTGGTAACAAGGGGAAGAGGGATGAGCGGCGAGAGAAGAGATGCCAGAGGAAAAGGCCCAGGAGGAGGCACTGGCTCAAATGATCAGGAGAAAAAGGTTACAAGATCAAGGATAGTAATCCCATAACCTAACGAGAAGTCAAGGGTGAAGAATAGAAACCGTAACCGATGGACACAGACAACAGTGTGGTGAAGGCGGGGAGTGGGGAGTGGGAGCGGGGAGGAGAGTGTCAATGGGGGAACAAAGAAGGCACATCTGTAATACATTCAACCATAGAGATAAATTTAAAAATAAAAACAATGCTAGAACAAAAATGACCGGGCTATGTGATGAGTAGGCACATACCATCTTCGAAAGAGCAGTTTCAGCAGAATGAAACGGGAGGCCCAGGAGTTAGGGTGTCATCAGAAGGTGAGGACATAAACACAGTGGGGTACACCCATTCATTCAGCAAGGTTGACAGTGAAGGGAAAGGAAGATGGCAGCCGGAGGACTAAGGGGGAGGTTTTAGGCTAGAATCTGCCCGTCGCAGAGGACAAAGCCCGGTGGAGAAAAGGAGATATATGACGCTGAAAAGCAGCCCTCGTCAATGAGTCTCATTCTTTTTTCATCACCTGGACCACTTAGGAATCTGATACAAGATCTATATCGTCTCACTGGAAAATGCACACACTCAATTTTTCACACTATTTTGGGAGGTCAAGGGCACCCCTGAGGATGATCCTTGTTTCTCCCGTGAATCCTGGA